TGGATGGATGGATGGATGGATGGATGGATGGATGGATGGGTAGAGTGAATAGACAGAATTGTCAGTGGATTTGTGGATGACAAATGGACAGATGGAAAAATGAAGGATGAATAGATGCAAAGATCAATGGCCACGTGGGTGGACTGATGGAAAGATGAAAGAATGGATGGGTGGACCCAACGGAGAAACACAGCAGAGGGAAAGAACTTGGAGACGAAAGGCACATAGCCTCAGATGGGCGAGGGCGACAGCACCCAGGCCAGGAAAGGGGCCAAGGCCGAGCTGAAAGGGGAGCATGTGGGAGCCCGAGGGTTACCCTTCACGAGGGCCTTCAAAACAATGGTCTCGAACTCCTCGGAGCCATCCTCCGACGCATAGACGGTCAGCAACTCCTTCCGGGTCATGATCCTCTCCACCTACAGACACGAAATCCTGCACACCCAGCCCGGCTGCTCCAGAGCCCACTGCCCCCCCAGGACCCAGGAATCCAGGCCCCAGCCCCCTACCTCAAGATCCAGAGGAGCCCCCCAAAGTCATACCTGGGCCTGCAGGACCTCGGGGTCCCCTTTGGGGAAGAAACGCCTGATCCGGTCTCGGGCTTCACCTCTCCTGGTGCCCCCACTCCCTGGGGCCAGAGAGTCTTCCAGGGTCTCAGCCAGGCAGTCGGCGGCACCCCCAGAGCCAGCCACCAGGAGGCAGGGGAGCTGGGCCTGTGTGGCATCCTCTATCCGCTAAGGAGGCAGGGGACAGCAGGTTGGGGAAGGCAGACACTGACCCTCCAGCCCCTCCTCCACTGAGAAAGACTCGGGGGCCCAGCACACCTGACTCCCTCCGCCTCCCATATACCTTCAGCATCCTCTCGTCACCATCGATCAGGAGGAGGAGGACAGGGATGTCAATTCCAGTCCCTGAGGGAAGAGAGCCAGGAACATGGTTAGCACCCATCAGCCTTTGCTGATCTCCGTGGGAGATCACACTTCCCAGGAGTCTCTGGGGCAAGAGCTTGGCCTCTTCCCAACCCTGTGTTTTGAGAATCGTGGGGTCTGCACATGTCTGCATCTGTGTGTGTGCATGTGTGTCTGTGTGTTACTAAGAATTAAACCCTTTGCCTTTCCAAAAGGTTACATACCCAGCCCCACCCCCTTTTTAATAAAAATTACTTAGTAGCTATAAATATGGGGGGTTTTTTGTTTTTTTTTTTTTTTTCCAGTACCGGGAATCGAACTCACAACCTTGTGCTTGCCAGACAGGCGCTGTGCCGCTGAGCTAAATCCCCAGCCCAAAAATTATTTAGTACCTAAATTGCCTAGGCTGAAGGCAAAATTGCCATCCTCCTGTCTTAGGCTCCCAGAGTGCTAGTCTCCAGTCGTGTGCCACCACATCTCACTGCTTTGTTGATTTGGTTTGGTTTGGTTTGGTGTTTTGTTTTGTTCTGTCCTTTGTTCTGTTTTCTTTTGTCCTGTTCAGTTTTTTGAGATGGTCTTGCTATGTACTCCAGGCTGGCCTTGAACTCACTGTGTAGCCCAGGCTGGCCCATAACTCCCTGCAGTCCTCCTACCTCACCTCCTGTGAGCTGAGATTAGAGGCGTGTGCCACCACGCCTGGCCCCCCGCTGGGAACTGTCATTTCTGTGTGCACTTTGGGAGGAGGCTGTACTGCGGGACCTCCCCAGGGAGAAGAGAACTTGGGACCAGAATTCCTGGGCCCCTGAGGGATCCAGGCATTTCTTCCATGAGTCATTCTTAACATTGATTAACAAATCAGAAGCCAGAGGAGGTAAAAGTTCACACAGGAAAGAACTATCTAAGCATAATAAAGTTATTTACCAAAGTCCAACTGCAAAATCCTGCAAGATGGTTTCATACTAACTCTGGTCCCATTAAAAGAAGACCCTGGCCTGATTACCACTATGCTCACTCCACTTATCCTGGAGCTGTGAACTAATGTAGTAACGCAAGAAAATAGAATAGTGGGTGTGGTGGCACACACTTACAATCCCAGCACTCTGGAGGCTGAGGCAGGAGGATCACTGCAAGGCTGAGGCCAGCTTGAACTACATAGCAAGACTATCTCAAAAAACCAAATCTTAGGTTAAGGCTGGAGGACTGTTGTGAGTTTGAGGCCAGCCTGGGCTATAAAGTGAGCTCAAGGCCAGCCTGAACTGCATAGTCAGACACTATCTCAAAAAGACCAAAAGAAAAAAAAAAAAAAAACAACTATAATCATAACCTGTATCTTATTCATGTTTTAATAAAAACTATAAGATATCTGGGAATTATTTCATCCAGAAAGGTACAAAATTGTTATGAGGAAATTTACAAACCTTATGTAAGCTTGAGGCCTGAATAGATGGAAAAACGATCATCAGTTCACCCGACTTAACACATAAAGTGAATGTGACTTGGGGGAAGAGGAGAGGTTAAGGAATTGTGCAGTACGTGCCCATTTTTAAATGGAACAGATCATTTTGAAAAGCATAAAGTCAGACAAGAGCCTGGAAGTTTTGAGCCAGGATGGGGAGAAGGAATGTTCCCTCACACAGCTTTAAACTGCTCTAATGAAAACATCATTCCGGCACAAGAATAGATAAATATAGAGGTGGGAAAGAAAAAGGTTCCAAAACAGATCTCAGCATATAAAAGACCCGCATATTTAACTGTGGCTAAAGGATGGTTTTATTTATTCAACAGCCATGAAGGAAATATTCCCCGAGAAAGGCAAAAAATGTGCATTCCATATTTCAAATATGTAAAAATCATTTTTAGATGGATTCAAGGTTTAAATATTAAACTGTGAGATATTTTTAAAAAGACTTAGAAGAACATTTGTCTTGGAGAGGGAATGGCCTTTCTAAGACCGTACACCCAGGGGGTATGAAGGAAACAACAGATATCTATCCACATTTTTAAAAAGAGAGTTTATGGCAGTAAACACAATATTAAAATATTAATTTTTTTGAGACAGGGATTTGCTATGTAGCCCAGGTTGGCCTCGAGTTCACAGTGATCCTCCTGCCTCAGCCTCCCAAGTGCTGGGACACTTGGTATGCACCATCATGCTGGCCTCCAATGTAGTACATTCTTAGCAATATCAGTGTATGTGTGTGTCCACGCACACTGGGGATGGAACCCAGGGCCTGACACATGCAAGGCAAGGGCTCTCCCCAAGCTACATCCTAGCCACTGGTCAACGATTAAAAGCAGCAGTGAGGCAGGGCATGATGGTGCACACCTGTAATCCCAGCACTTGGGAGGCTGAGGCAGGAGGATGGCTGCAAGTTTGAGACCAGGTTGGGCTACAAAGTGAGCTCAAGGCCAGTCTGAACTGCATAGCAAGACCCTGTCTCAAAAAGACCAAAAAAAAAAAAAAAAAAAAAACTGGACCTGAAGGTGCTCATGAGGAAAGCAGCACATGTATAAACATGGTACAAAACCCAGAGACCCCGCTGTAATTGCCCATAATTTTATCTCATAGAGAAATGTTTAAAAGGGCACACTGCAAACAGCTGAACACCAGTGACCCCAACTGGCAGGAAATTCGAACTGGGAAAGAAAATAATTAACTTTTTTATATACCTTTTTATGATTTGATTTGTTCCCATGAGCACACACTAAAGCTGGCCTCAGAAGGTTACAGGCAAGTTACAGGTCATGGGCCCACATCCTAAACTCCAAAATCCACAGTGCTTTCAAACTAGAAATACAAATGCTGACATGATGCTGAAAAATTTGAATTGGATGTGGTGACACACGTCTGTAATCCCAGTACTCTGGAGGCTGAGGCAGGAGGATCACAGCGAGTTCGAGACCAACCTAGGCTACAAAGTGAGTTCAAAGCCAGCCTGAACTGCACAGAGAGACCCTGTCTCAAAAAAACAAACAAAAAGCTTGAGACTGGAAACATTTTGGATTTCTCTGATTAGAGATGCTGAACTGCATAGTATGCCTAAAGATGGGAAATCTCTGAAACTGGAACCATTTCTGACCCAAGTGTTTCAAGTAAAGGATACTCAACCTGTATCACACAGTATGACCTTTTCACAAAACAAAAGTAAAGTACTAGAAGCAGGTGTGAAGTACACACCTGTGATCCCAGCCCTCCAGAGGCTGAGGCCAGCTTGAGTTACATAGTGAGACATTGTCTCAATAAAACAAGCCAGGCATATGGTGATGCACACCTGTAATCCCATCCCTCAGGAGGCTGCACCAGGAAGACTACCATGAGTTCAAGGCCAGCCTGGGCTACATAGTGAATTCAAAACTAGCCTGGACTACACACGAGATCCTGTCTTAAAAAATTAAAAAAAGAGGGCTGGGGATTTAGCTCAGCGGCACAGCACCTGCCTGGCAAGCACAAGGTCGTGAGTTCAGTTCCCGGTACCGGAAAACAAAAAAACAAACAAAAAAATTAAAAAAAGAAAGCAAACAAACAAACCAAAAAACCCTTCTAGGACTGGAGAACAGGTCCTGGGTGCCAGAGGTTAGAGACATAAAGCCAGTCCTTTGCAGTAACAGAACTGGCCTGCACCCTCACTGGGTTCCATATACACCCATCTACACTCATGTGAATGTTTGTAGATGTTCCACCCAAAAGGTCACTTGTAATATTGTGTGGTGATTTCAAAATTAAAATTGAAGCTGACTAGAGTTAAACAAGTTTAAAAATTAAATTAACTTTGACAGAGTTTGGTGGTGCATGCCTGGAATCCCAGCACTCTGGGAGGCTGAGGCAGGAGGATTGCAAGTTCTAGCTTGGTCTGGGGCAATTCAGTGGTATATCCAAGTTCAATTCGGGGAGTTGGAATGTAACCCAGTGCTGAAGGCCTCAGTACCACACACAAAATAGTTATTTAGTTAATACAGAAAATGTTTACAAAGAACCTGCTTTTATTTTTTTTAGAAGCTGCTTTTAGTTTTGTTGATTTTTCTCGGCCATTCGTTTCTATTTTATTTATTTCTGCCCTTCTGTTTCTCATTTCCTTGCTTCCTCAGATTTGATTTGCTATTCTGTTTCTAGGGGTTTTTTTCTTTTTTTCTTTTTTTAATTTTTTGTAAGTCAGGAAGCTTAAACCATTGATTCTTGGCTTTTCTTTTCTAATATATGGATTTAAGTCTACACACTCCCCCCCATGTATTATGCCCTCTAGATATGTATATGCCAACCTTCGTTATCAGTCAGTTCAAAATATCTTCTAAGTTTTGTTTCTTCTGTGGCCTGTGGGCTACTTACAAACTCAGCTCATGCAGTGACACGAATGAAACTCTCAGAGCCCACATGAAATAAAACAAACCGGGCCCCAAAGTGAACACTGATTCTCTGCAAGGTAGAAATGCATCCAGAACTGCCCCCCATTGGAGCTCTGGGTATAGCTCCTGGGGAGTGCAAGGGCCTGGGTTCTAGGCCAGCAGCTGCTTGCTTATAGGACGGGTACAGAGGGACAAAACCCTCTGTGCTTTTCTGCATGAAGGAGAGATTTTTTTTTGTCTTTTTGAGACAGGGTCTAGATATGCAGGTCAGGCTGGCCTTGAGCTCACTTTGTAGCCCAGGCTGGTCTCCAACTTGCAATGATCCTCCTGCCTCAGCCTCCCGAGTGCTGGGATTACAGGCATGCCCTGCCACAGCCTGTTCACAGGAGAAATGTTTAAGATAAAGATTTGTAAAACACAGAAATTGGTGGGAAAGGATGTGTGACCACAGGAAACTACCCAAATTTGGGCCAGGCTGAGCCGCTGGGCTCCTGAGCACTGCGCCCCAGCTCTGGAATGCTGGAGCCACTCACCGCCCACGCCCGTCTTCTGCTGCGCCACGTAGGACTCGAAGCGCAGGCGGAATCGGTCCTCGCCACCCGCACGGCCGTGGGTGCCGTCGTCCACCAGGAAGAAGGCGGAGTAGTTGTAGTCCAGGGGGAACTCCACCCCATCCTCAGGGTCGCCGCGCCACCGGTACTTTGCAGGGAAGGAGCCCTGGGGACAAAGGAGCCAACCAAGGAGGCCTTCCTGGAGGACAGCAGGAGATGCGCCTCTTCCTTCAGGCCCGGAGCCCAGGCCGGACCTCCTCCCTTAGACCCGGGAACCGGCCCCACCCCGCTGCTTCCCTGGCGCTGGTTCACCTTGGGGTTGGTGAGGGTGTCTCGGTTCCGGACCACGCCCCAGGGTGCCACACCCATGGCCACCACCTTGCTGCCGCCGGTGCTGGCCGTCTGGTGGTCCCGCACTGCCACGCCCACGTGCCTGCCGATGCCGGAGTGCAGCCCCCCGGTGACAATCCAGGCCCCTGCACAGAGGGACGGGACAGAGACAGGGAGAATCCACGTAAGAAAGAGCTCCGTGACAAGTGCAGGCAGCCTGGGAGGGAGCGCTGGGGCCCGGCCACCCACCCTTGGTCACCTGTGCTCTGGGCGGCCCGCACTAGCCCACGTCTTAGCAGGTCCTGCAGCCAGGTCTGGAGGACGGGGCCCGCCGAACCCCCCAGGACAGACACCACCAGGTTTGGGGCTCGAAAGCCCCATGTTCGGGTGACCAAGCTATAAATAGTTGCTGGATCCGTGCGGTCAGACAGCCGGAGGAACTGTGGACACATGGGGAGGGGACACGGGGAGGGGATGGAGACCAGAGACACGAGGGATGGAGACGAGAGACGGAGGGGGACAAAGACCCAGAGGGAGAGACGGATCCACGTGGGGAGACCCGTGTCCAGCCTGGGCCCTGGCACTGCTCTGGGCCCCCGTGTCCCCTGCCACCCCCAGCCCCACGCTTGCAGCCTCACATTGCTGGGCCTGCGGCCGGCGCCCAGGAACTCCAGCTCGCCGTAGGCGTCGGTGGGCTTCTCCGTGGTGTGCACATCACTGCTCCACACGGTCACCACCGCTGCCCCGAACGCGTCCTCCACGGCCACCGAGGGGTGGGCTTTCCGGGGGCGCCCGCACTGGCACAGGGTCCCTCTGCAGGTGCAGAGGTGGAGCGTGAAGCCGGGGGTGTCCTCTCTGACCCCCAGCATCCCATAGGAGCATCCGTGTGACCCTCTGTCCCCAAAGGGAGCCAGAGTCCAGCTGACCTGGTGTTGGAGAGACTGAGACAGGGACAGGTGCAGCCCCCCTTTCCCACCAGAAGGAAGCCACAAGTAAGCAGGGGTGTTCACAGGGCCCCACCCCTCTGTGGCCTGCAGGAGAAAAGCAGCGATAGCCATCAGCCAGGGTCCTCGCTGCCCTCAGCCCAAAGAAGTGATAATCACCACGAGAAGATAAATTCAAAAAAGAAAGACAGAAAAAAAACAAAAATTTTGAAAAAAAAAAAATCCATCAGGACAGAGCGGTATGGTATATCCCTATAATCCAGCACTCAGGAGGCTGAGGCAGGAGGATCGCCACAAGCTCAAGGACAGCCCAATCTGAACTACATGGCAAGGACTTGTTTCAAAACATTAAATAGGGGCTGGGGATTTAGCTCAGTGGCAAAGCACCTGCCTGGCAAGCGCAAGGTCATGAGTTCGATTCCCAGTACCGGAGAAAAACCAAAAAAAAAAAAAAACAAAAAAAACAAAAAAAACCCAAAACATTAAATAAATAAGCAAGAGAATAACCCAGAGAGCTCATGTGTTGGAGGCTGAGGCAGCTGCGTGACTTTGAGTAAGTGGCTTCACCTCTCTGAGTCTAAATTCCCTTCTCCAGGGAAAAAATGATAATAGCAGAGCTTACTCCAGAGAACTCTGAGGAGGCACAGAAATAACGCTGTGCTTCCTGAAATGAGGATTGCCTGCCGGTCCCAGTTGGAGGCAGGCTGTGTGAACTTCACACCAAGCTTTAAATAACCTTGAATAACACAGTGAGAAAGTCATTTCTTTTTCAGTTCTGACTTCAGTCAGGGAGTAGGCTCAGGTGGGTGTCTGAGTATCTTTCCTGCCTAACCCTTTGTTACTTTTTTTTTTTTAAGCAGAAAAAAAACAAGCTCCAAGCCCAGGAAAACTGGGCTGCCAAAGCATCCAGCCAGAAAATAAATACCTTTATTTTCTCTTCATTGTTTTGGGCTGTCTGGCTTATTTCTTTCCTTTGTGACAGATGGAACAGGGTTCCCATTTATGGTCACTGTACACACAGTTTCTTCCCTAAGTAAATGCGTCACTTTCCCTGTCTGCTGTGATGGGCTCCAGGGTTTCAGAGAGCAAGGGGATGAGGGATTCGGTTGAAAACATACCCGAATCTCCTCTCCCTGCTTCCAGGAAGAATTCAGATGTGAAGGTGACCCGGACTGCTGTAAACAGGGTGAGTCCATTTAAGGATCAGTTCTATGGAAACGGTAATACAGCTGGCACAAGGGTTTGGCAAAAGCTGTGGGATGATGGCACTCGGAGGCTGAGGCAGGAGGACTGCCTTGGCGTTTGAGGGCAGCCTGCTCTACACAGAGAGACCAGGGATGTAGCTCAGTGTGGGTTCCATCCCCCGCGCCCCTCCCCGCAAAAGACGCGGCCGCCGGACCCTGATGCACACAGGGGACAGGAAGTGTGTCCACTTGGCCAGTTCCTGGCACGCTGCAGACTACAATGAGGGGGCACCTCCCTCCTCTCTGAGTCACACTCAGGACCAGGGCCTGCCTCAGTTTGTTTTTGTATCCTTGGACCATCCTTGGACCCCTCATGTCCTTCCAGCTACTTGTCCCAGGCTGTTCCTAGCAAAACTTCTAGGAATGACCCCGAGCCTGTGCTGTCCAGAGCTATCTCCCCCTAGCCATGCAACGGCTTATTACATTTCCTTGGTGCCTCATATTCTAAAATACTAGATGCTTCACAAAATTAGATCAAAGGCTAGGCGTGGTGCCACATAGATGTAATCCCAGCATTTGGGAGGCTGAGGCAGGAGGATCACCATGAGTTCAAGGCCAGCCTGGACTACATAGAGAGATCTGTCACCAAAAAAAAAAGCTCAAAGCAGAAATTCAATTCCTCGCAATGCTGCCTGTGGCTGCCATACTGGATCTGGGCAGAGAATCCAGAAACTGCAGTGGATGGTAGCAGATTTCCCCTCTCACCGTGCGCCCGCCTCTTCAGCCAGTGTGCCACCGCTACACAATGGCCCCTATTCAGGTTTCACCTGACTTCAACATAAGGTGGCCTGGCTGCAGCTGAAAGGCTTTCATTCCGGGAAGCCCCTGCCATGGCACAGTGTGCCTGGCCCCGGCCTCTCCCCTCCCCACGGCTCTGTCCCAGCCTCCTCTGTGGCTTTCTCTTCCCTGTCACCTCCCTGAGCACAGGTGTCCCCGGAGTGAGAGCCACACCATCCTCCCTTCTGGTTCCTGACTGAGCTTGATGCCCGCGGGGCCAGGCAAGCCAGTTACTGGAAAGACGCAGCCTGCATGCTGAGTAAGTTCTCTACCACTGAGCTAAAGTGCCAGCCCCGAGGCAGCTTTTTAAACTCTTCCATGCAGAGTATAAAGAAAAAAATGAACCGGGCGTGGTGCCGCACGCCTGTAATCCCAGCACTCGGGAGGCTGAGGCAGGAGGATTGTTTTGAGTTCGAGACCAGCCTGGGCTACAAAGTGAGCTCAAGGCCAGCCTGAACTGCATAGCAAGACCCTGGCTCAAAAAGACAAAAAAAAAAAAAGAAAGAAAGAAAAGAAAAGAAAAAAACGGCCGGGCACAGTAACACAGGCCTGTAATCCCAGGACTCTGGGAGGCTGAGGCAGGAGGATCCCAAGTTCAAGCCCAGCTTGGGCAACTTAGTGATTTATCAAGACCCTTTCTCAAAATAAAAAAATAAAAGGGTAGAGAGGCCAGGCTTAGTAGGAAGGCCCTGGGTTCCATCCCCAGAAAGAAAAGGAAAGGAGAGGAGGAGAAGGAGAAGGAGAAGAGAGGAGAGGAGAAGAAAGGAGAGGAGAGGAGGGGAGGGGAGGGGAGGGGAAGTGAGGGGAGGGGAGAGGAGAGGAAAGGAAAGGAAAGCACAGGGGCCTAGCACTGCCAGCTGCTGGCTCCCTGACCTGCCATCTTGCCTGCGACATCTCTCCCACTTCCATGGAAAGTTAGGATTCCTCAGACTCCACTGGGAGCCCAGCTTCTCCCTGAACCCCAGCCTGGGCCCCACACTCCCTGGCACCCCCAGGCCCATCACACCTCAGCACTCAAACCTGCCCATCCACCTCATCCCATCGGGCTGACCTCATGGCATCCATCACGGGGACCTCCCCCGACATCTGCTGGTCCCCAAGCTCCACCCTGTGTGCTGGACTCTCTGCCCTGCCCCTTCCTGCGGGCCCCTGAAGTGCTCATCTAGCTCAAGCCTGCTCCCCTCCCTTCTCTCTTAGATTCTTGACCACCTCCTTCCTGGCATCTCAAACTCCTACTCATCCCGCTGCGGCTGCCTCCCCAGCCACCCAGCCCTGCAGAACAAGATCCCTGCTATTCAGAGTGGCCTGTGAGGTCCTGCGAGATCTCGCACCACCACCCCCTGCAGCCTCCTCTCTTGTGACAACACTCCTTGCTCCTTGAGCTTTACTGTTCTCCGGCCACGCCACACCGTCACCGTCACCGGGGCGACTGCGTCACCGGGGCGACTGCACGTTTCACTCCTGCTCGCAAAGTAACTTCCCACGTGCCTCTGTCCTGCCTGTCTTCACCTGTCAGGTCCAACTCATCCTTCACAGGTCCCCGCACCAGTGCCCCCGAAGCCACTGGTGACACCCGTGTCTCCTTCCCAGCCTCAGCTGGACACACATCCCAGGGCCCAGGGCCCATCCGTGGCAGCTGCCACCTCCTGGCCTTCGACGTCAGGCTCACCGTCTACCTTCTAGGCAACAGAGTTCCTCGACTTCCGTGGCGCTTCCCGTTGGCACCACGCCCCCGGGTGTATACGTGTTTACACATAGTTGGCAAGCTGCACCAAGGTAATAGTTTCCTAACAAACTGGGGCGCGGTGACACACACCTTTAATTGCAGCGCTCTGAGAGGCTGAGGCAGGAGGATTGCAAGGTCAAGCCCAGCCCAGGAAACTTAGCCTACTTAGACTCTGTCTCAGAATTTAAAAAATTAAAATTAAAATTAAAAATTAATTTAAAGTTTTTAAAAAAGGACTGTAGATGTGAGTCCAAAGCCCCTGGGTTCAGCTCCCAATTTCCCAATCCCTCGCCTCCCAAGGCTAACACCTTCATAACAAAACACATCTGGAATTGGGAACGTAGAAGTTAGGGTTAGAAGTTCGGCACACCTCGAAGCGTGTCTCAAGAGCTCTAAAGCCTCAGGCCACTGGGAGACCATTCCTCGGGGCGGGGTCCTCGCGGGCAGCACCCCCAACCCCCTCCTGCCCGGGTCCTGCCCCTCAGCACCCTGCGAGCCTGGGCACATGCCGGCGGAATCGCTGCCTCTGGGTGGGAATTGCAGATGTTTCCTCTGCTTGTTAGACGCTGCCTCCTGGGCTCCTGTTCCAGAAATCTCACCCCAGTCCTTGCTTAAACCCCACATTCATCCTAGGAGCGGCGCTGACTTCCGCCCGGATGACTCAGGAGGCCCAGAGGGATGAACCTGATTGCCCAAAGCCGCAGAGCTTGGGTCTCCAGTGAAAGTTCAGCGCTGCCCAGCCGCAAACTCTGGAAGCGCCGCTTCCCTTAGGAGCCCCAGCGAGGAGGGCGCCTCGGGCGGAGGGACGGAGGGACGGAGGGACGGAGAGACGGAGGGACGGAGGGACGGAGGGACGGAGAGACGGAGGGACGGAGGGACGGAGGGACGGAGGGACAGAGGGACAGACAGATGGGTGGAGGGAGCGAAGGGTGATGGGAGACAAACGGTCTAAAGAGACAGTCGAAGGACACACAGAGAAAGTGACACAGAGACAGACACGGAGAAGAGACCCAGGGAAGGACGGAAACAGACGGGGACCCCGCGCGGAGAGGAGGGGCTGCAGGCGCAGGGGTCCCCAGGCCGGCCGCCGTGGGCGTGACCCTCGCCCCGGGCGCCCCGCGTCCCCGCCAGTCCTCACCCGGGGTCCGAGAGGTCGACTATGAACGTGGTGCAGATCTTCTTCCTGAAGATCTTGGGGATCCAGCTCTGGGGACCGGAACAAGGAGGGGGTGGGATGAGGGGCTCGGTGCCCCCCAAAGGACCCGGCCCCGCCCGGCCCCGGCCCCAAGCCGCACAGCCCCGGCCC